CGCGTTTTTTAATTCCTAAAGATAAAATTTAGATAGTATTGTATTATTTAAATTATTATTTATTGTATTGAAATATTATTAAATGTTTCCAATTTTATCAAATATATTATTGTGTAACGGTAATTTAGAATATTTTGTAAATATTATTTTATATTTATTTTTAGTTTTTTTTTATATTTATTTTTGTTTTTGTTAAAATTAATACAAGTAGATTGTTTTCACTTATATTTGTTCATGAATAAAATTGAATTGTATATGATTTTTATATATTTATTTTCGTTTTTGTTCAAATCAAGTTGAATATTTCAACTTATATTGTTAATGTAATTAATATTCATGACCCTGATTCATGTACCTGTTTTTATGTATATATCTTTTCGAGTTATAATTGTTATGAAAAGAAGATTGTTTTAGAACTGTATATATTATATGGGTGAAGAAAAAATATCGGTAACGCGCTTATATTGCAACCTCGGAGGTGGTGATGAAAAGCAATAAATATATAATAATCTTTTGTTTCGAAAATATTCTTGAAAGTTTTCATTAATATTCTCCATTACAAATACATGTTCACAAACAAGTTGTTAAACTACAATACATTCCTTTTATTTACATCTCTGTGTCAAAAAAAGCAGATTCGATCAGGTGATCACGGCTGTTTCACACACAACAACGAAAACAGCTGATTCGTTGGTTACTAGTAGGCTTATACAATGTTGCAGACTGATTTCACTGTCGCTTTGTCCTATCGTAAGTGCTCGTTTTATGCTTCAAACAGTCATCGACATTCCTCCCTTCCCTACTTACCGCCTGTATCAAACCAAATTTGTCAAAAGATATGCCCGTAGTTGCAACGCAGAAATCAGTTGTTCTCTTTTGTTTTCATTTCACCAATGTTTCCATTGTTCTATTTGTATGCACGATTTTTCACACATTTAGTTTTTTAGTTATGATTTTTCATAATGTAAAAGCTCAAAACTAAAATCCAACTACTTTAAATAGTTTACGTGTTTAAAAATAAATGTATTCGACCGTGATTTTGAGTTATTTTAAGAATATTTCAAATATATTTAAGTTTATTTTTTTAATTACTACAAAATATCGAGATTGGCAACCCTGCGTTGCAAAAGATTTTTCCAGATCCAATTTTCGCGGATATCCTACAGTACGGTCTGTAGAAGCGGACGGTAGAAGGAGTTCATTTACATTGCGTTCTCATAAGATAGGTCGTATCAGATGATTCACGTTTTTGCGTCAGTGACTGTTTGAAGCATTACGCCCTTCGTATGTTTGTGTTAGTGACAATCCGTGTGTATACGTATTCGATCACTTACGCTATTTTGACACATGCTAAGGTTTTGCCCATCCCTGATCATGAGCTTCTAAAACCTGGTTAAGCTATTAATTCTAATCGCTATAGAGAACAACCAAGGCCGGTTCATACAAATAAGCTGATACCATGTAGTACTTAAACTCAAACCCTAAGAATCATAAAATTTCTGTTAAAGAAATTTTGCGTTATCTGACGTTCTAACCGGTAATGTTTTCTTGAAATTTCTGACATTATTAGAGCTTAAAAATAAAAATAAAATACACCACTTGTAAACTTACGTACGCTCAACTAATATGGATTCGACTTGTTATTGATTGTTTCCGAAATAGAAAAATAATAATTTCTTCGAAAGATATCTCATATTTGACGATATTAAGGAATTGTTTTAAGTGTTAAGGCTTAAGCCAATTTAAAACAGAAATTCCAATAAGTAAACTGAATTCACATACATTGGAAGCCTTTTCGAAATCCGAAGCATCATAATCATAAGCCGTCTTTATCTAGAGGCGCTTATACCTACGGTAAATATTAAGTCGAACTTTTCTTCTCAGTCCCATCCCCGCTTTATGTAAATGTCAAACTGATGCATCCTGGGTCTTTGTTTTTTGGCAAAAAAAAAATATTTTTTTTACATTACGACAGAAACTACAAAAATGGATCTCTAGAAAAAATATTAAGTTATAGAATTTGGTTCTAACTCTTTTTCTCTCCTCACTAAGTCATTTTAAACGCATGCCCAAATAAAAAATATGTACCTAATTTTATAGGTGTTTTTATTTATGTCAAAAATCTTTTCAACGATTGAATATGAAACATAATTTTTAGTATATAATATAACGATGCTAAGTTTATATATAGTTATTTAAAAAAAAATTATATATTATAGGAATTCTCTAATAAATAAAAAACAACAAGTATGGAAGTGCTAAAGTGTGTAACTGAATATTTTATACTCTCGCAATTTTCAAAGATCAAAAACGCGGATATATTTGAAGGTATTGGCAATATGTATTAAATATTAAAAAGTGTTCCGTAATAATTCAACATTCATCATTTGACGAAACTGTGATTGGATAATAATCATATGTGGTTGTTAGGTTGTTTTACAGGTAATTCACTAAGTTTCACCTTGCCTCGTGTCCGGTCTATCTATGAGGTTTTTTAATGAAAGTCACAGAGCATTTTTTACAGGTAATAATATGCCGTCATGCCACAAATCACTTTCAATTATGTTAAATTTATTAATTTGGTTGAGTTTATATCTCAGTTAAGTTAATTAGGTTGGTTTTAAACATATATATTGAACATATACATATATTGAATTCACATAAAACTTTTACTTCGTTTTGCGTCATACATTTATTTTGACAGAAAAGTTCGATGTACGCTTTTGTATTAGTACGTTGATACAAAAAGTTTTCGACGCGAATACAAGCAAAATGTTGGGCATCTTTTTACGCTTTGCCAATCGCCGACTGTTGATTGTTATTGTTATTAAAGAGAAACACAGAGAGCAAAGCGTTCATTGTGGCACACCCTTTGGTTTCTTCGCTTCGTTGTTTCAGTATGAACTGTCACACAAAGCGAGGAAAACTGTATGTGAATGGGCCCTCTTAAGACTTTCCAAAAAGCACTCAACATTGGCGGTTTTTGTCAATAAAAAATTCACATCGCTCAATATTATATTTATTAAAAGAAAATATTTTAATGTCATATTTCGTTATAAAACTCGTTTGATTTTAAATAATTTCCATTTACTAGGAAATATGAACCCATATTTTGATTTGGGAAGTCGATTGCCAGGTGAATTCAGATGCATTGCTTTTAATTTTTTTATTTGATTACATTTTTTCTCTTTGTAGTGTCTAAATCATCTGTGAAAATGTGATAAATTTCCTTATTGACAAACAGATGTCAAATCTGTGATTAGGTGTCGGTCGGAACATCGTATAGGTTAAAAATGATTACATTACACCAGATTGTTACGATGAACCGGCACCTACTCATATCTATTCAATTTTATCACGGACTCTTCGTAACAACTCGGTACTTTTAAAACTGTGTTGATGAACCGGCATATGTTCAAAAACGGTGACAGCAAGAATACAAAAACAAAATTTACATGTACTTTTTTCATAAAAGGTTGTATCACGAAAATTAAAATAAAAGTAATTTGCGGCCGAGATCTTTGTACTTGTATGTCTTCCCACAAATATTTTTAACAGTTTCCACAATAGGTTACATGTCCCAGACGTTCACTTTTATAAAATAGATTGTAATATAACCTAAATGTTTGTTCAATATAATTATGGTGGTGCCAACCTAATTTTCAAAGTATACATTGGAGTATGTGTGTAAAAATCGATCGTTGGATCGTATTTGATAGCTAAACATACAAGGCGAGTTGTGACATACGACCATTGAGGTTATTGCAGTTGTTCAGTTTTTGTCAATTCTTTATGGATTATAAACCAAATTTCGTACCAACACTAACCGAGTGGATGTCTTAAATAAAAATAAATGGTAAGTATGTATTTCATGTACCCAAAAATTCACAAAAAGATATTTTAGTAACCGTTAAAAATATCACAATAAAAATATCAGTTCGATATATTACATTTAATAATATTTGACTCTGACGCCACCTAGCGGTAATTTCCCTCTCCTTTCCTTACAAATCGGATGAACAGCATTGCGGCACAATCAAAATGAAAAACAAGGTTAAGGTTGGTAAATTATAATTTAAAAAAGGCGACAAATACTTTTAAATTAATATATTTCTGCCAAGTATATGACATTATTCTTTTATTTGATAATATGCGTTAATTAAAAGCCTATAAAAAGACGATAACCCGGCCTTTGTTGTATGATTGCATATGATTTAAAATTTTCCATAAGAGGCGTGTCAGTATCTACTTTTGCTGCCTTTCAAACTGCCGAAATCTTACTGTATAACTTCCTAATAACCTTCTCTAAACCCATCAAACTGCGTGGTATATATCTGATATGAAAAAAACTTCTGGGAAAATCATACTTTGGACCCTTGTGTTGTCGTACATACACATAACTACAAAGGTAAGGTAAGATAATTTCAAACAACGTTGGTTTAAACCATATACTGTGGCGCCTCCTTTGATATCCTCATTATATTTCGTATTTTTATAATTATCTAATTTAGTGTAGGATAAGCATATAATAATACATTATATTAATTAGGTAAAAGATAATTAAAAAGTTAGTTAATGCAAAATTATATTAATTATATGGTATATTAAGTTTCGTAATATTCACATAAAATGTAGTTACATTTCACGGGTTTCGGTATTAGTATAGTATTTGCCAAATCCTCTACAATGATAATAATAATTAATTGATTAGATCCAAGCGTTGAAGCCCTTAAAGAAAAACATATTATGTGAGCAGTAAGTTCCAAAAATTGGTTAATAAAAGTTTATGTCAATCATACTTTGATTTAACTAACTTTACATAAGTTTTGGATTCGTAATAATTGTGTAAAAGTTCGCCATAATTGTGTTTTATATAATTTTTTTTAAAGCTTTAAGCAATTATTTGTGTTCAGTTAATATAAACAGAAAGATTTTTTTTTAAATTTTGCATGGTTTAAATTAGCGAGCCTAAATTAATTTAAAATTTTTAATAGTTTTACCGTTTTATTTTTTAATTGTTTTTGTATGTGTTTTTACTCCTCTGAACATCTGAACATGCAATTAAAAACAATCACAAACGCATATTTTCTTCTTTAAGGTTTTATGTTCTTCTCACTATATGGTTTATTGTTATTATTATTTTTATTATATTGTATTTAAGTTTGAAATAATTAATTGTAATATTTAGAACAGACCATGTAAACTCAATATTCGGAGTACTACCGAACTAAGCAAGCAAATGTCGAAGCCTAAGCTTCACGCACTAAACACTCGCGTCCAATTCGTGCAGAATCCTTTGTGCAACTGAATACGAAGCTACTCAAAACAGAACATCAGGATATGTTGCGACAATTCCTGTATAGGCCGACACAAATTGGCCAAAACTAACAACAACCACGGTGGTAAGCAAAAACCGAATATATCGGAATGCAATTTAAAAGTACGAAGACGATGTGCCACCGCCAACCAGCGCAACGTACAGCTATACAACAACACGATTGTGCCACTTATACATATGATACAAAAATAACAGCAACAACGTTAACTGGAACCGAACAATGGAACGAAGCAGTTGGTAAACCCGAGATGTGCACGAAAGTCAAAACAAAAGTAAAGGCAGAAGTATAGCAATATCAATGGGAGTAAATGTGTTTACGACGCTAAACCCGAATGGCGAATATTATTATTACTGTTGGATAGCTGCGCCGGAGCTGCCGACTAGAGCTATGTATGTTATTGCTCGTGTTCGCTTTCGCATTGGAGGTCTCTTCGGCAGAAAGAGCGACAAAACGCAGTATGGAGCAAGTGGGTGGTCTATGTTTCTAGCTGGCTAAAGTTCGCCCATAAGTATTGTCGGATGCCTGGTGCCGGCTTTATTGCCGACATTGGTGCTAGATTGGGAGCGAGAGACCACAACATACCGCAAACACGCGTCAAAAACGTAACAACACGGTCGACACAATCAAACATCCATATGTACACATGTTAGAGTTGGTTCAAAGTTTGGGTTGGAGCCCGCACAGTATGAAGGAATGCGTCCGGACACAAGTACATTATCATTGAAGGAGGGTGATAAAAGACTGCGTTGATCACACATGTTCCATCGAACTTAAACTAATGCTGGCTCGAACAGCTGTTTGCAACAATTACATATTTTGTGAGCAAAGACTATACCATATATACATCAAACAACAAATACTTATCTAATATAATATAAGTATAAATTTGTACACTATATATGTATGTATATATATGTAGAAAGCTAACAGTAATTTAGTATGCATATGCATCATACGGAAATAAATAACGCTACACTTTCGCTGTATAAAAAAAGTACACCGAATTGTTCGCTGCCAGGGCCTACTCACTAGTACTACTGATTACGAGCGAATAATTTCAATCCTTCTTGTTTGTGACATCTTAAACTAACGAGATAGATGCGTATACAAGAATGTAATCAGTAAGATAAGGATAATGACAAATTTACTACGTAGAGTTCATAAAGTGAAGATATAGGTAAAATTGTCCATTTAATTTTTCACTTTATTTATTTTATCATTCAATCTTAATAAACGCAAATTTTGTGCCACATCTCTATATAGAAAATTTCCTCACATGTGTTGAGTGAATATGTATCTATGGTACATATAAAGTTCCATTTCCTCAAAAACTGAGAATATTTGAATCGAAATTTAAATAAGGCTAATACTATTTCCGAATAACACATACCTGTACATACATATGTAGTGTGTTCTCGTATATATACTTATGTACATGTCGCTCTCAAAAGTATGTGTAGGAGTTTGCAGTTAATGTTTTTGCAACAGAGTTTGCTCTTTAAAGACAATTCACATGGGAAAACTAATGCATAAATTGAGACCCAATTCAATTCATACCCATTCACATTTCACTTTTAAGCACCCAAAGCAGGAAAATATATTTACTCGTTTGTTATGTTACTTTGAGTAGAGATAAATGAAGCAAAAAATTTGCATTGGGAACCACACCTAGCGATTGTGCGAAAGTTAACTGACAATCCGCAGACAAATACTAGGACAATAGGTATGTATAAATTTATGTTTTCCACAGCAGCCGTGTGAATTCAACATTTGCCAGGTGTAGCTGTGTGCAAACGAAAAAAAAATAGCAAAAAATCGATTCCAGGAAAACTTTGCTATTTAGTATGCCGAACTTGTTATCCCTCAATGCAATGCTACTTTACAAGTTAGTGCTGAAGATATTAGAGACTTTAATCGATTTAAACATAGGAAAGTTCTTAAATTGTATAAAAGGGGGAATGTTTAGAATAGGTGTTTATAAGCATTTCATTATGACTTAAGGAATAAAATTTGATTAATCTTGATTTGTAAAATTTAAAATCTTTGTTTTTTTAATTAACTCGAATTACCATTATTAAAGAGTCAGCTCAAATTTCAGGGATATACATTTTTAACATATATACTAGAACTCTGGTTTGGGTTGATCTCATCACCTATCAGTCTCAATTTATTTCCTCAATTATAGAAAAAATTTATTTTCTATCATAATGCCAGGAACGAGGAATTAAAAATCGCATCGATCTTTTAAAAGTAGATAAATGGTAATTTATTATAATTACTACAGTGATAATTCTTTGATGCTAATATCGCAAAAAATTCTCTTAATGCATTAAATGCTAAAATAGGTTTATTCTAGGTAACCAAGAGCAAATGCAATTAAAAATATAAACAAGTTAGGAAGAACTTTGTTTGGGTGCCGCCCAAATAGTTATATTCTCACAATTTTGAGGTATTACCAGAACTTTATACTAAGAAAATGCATATAAATTCAAATTTATTAATCGACGAAATTGTTAATGGATAACAATAATATTTGAATTTTTGATAATACAATACAGTACCCCATGGATAATTGCACTTCAAAAATCGCACAATTTTTGGTTCAATTAGCGGAGGAATCAATTAATCAATACTCGTTTAATTGAATAATTCATTCAATTACCGGAATCCCGATAATTGGACAACCTAATCGACTCAAAAAATTCATATGTGCACGTTATGCATATATTTAGTTTTTAGTAATAATATTTGTAACTTTATGTTAAGCGGTAAAAATATAATGAAAAAAAAAGATATATATTCTATCTCGGTTATGAAAAATAAATAAAATAAAATAAACTTAAGCAACAAAACCAGTTTTTATTATTGTACGAGTATATATGCAGCGCTTGTATTCACATATTAAGAGATTTTTGCTTAAAGTGTTAATTGAAATTAGATTGAAGTAAAATGTGATTCCATTTTCCCTAATTCACACAAAATCCTTTATTCTGAATAAAAATATGTTTGAAGTTCTTTTACGTATTTTAAAACTTTAAGAACTGACAGAGCATGCAGCATGCCAAGTTGTTTTTTTAACTAAAGCAATTAACAGAAAAATTAAAGGTATACTTTTTTTTCAATAACTAATATTTTGAAACAATTATGCGTAGAAGCTAATTAACCGGACAGTTTTTAGATGAATTATATTCAATTGAAATAAAATAGTCATATTTCAGGAGAATTGGGAAAACTGATGATATTGCCCCGCCCATGCTGCCACACCGGTAATGTTTGCGCACCTGACTGACAAAACCCATAACGAAGCCTTTAAGCGCATACGTGTCCAATGTGCAGCATTAAAAACGTATATCCACACTAGTGATGTGTAACAACCTCACACATTGATTTTGTAGTTGTTATTGTATTAGCTTCACTACACGAGTTCATGTGTTACATTACACCCTTGGTATTGTGCCACACTCTTTGATACACTTAACGGTTTGGCTGTGGCCACACGCTTTGACCGCAAATAGATGTGGCACCATAGCAAGCAATAACAACACACTATTACCTTGTTGGCACAATACTGCACAGCGTCCTTGTGAAACGCTCCCGTATGTCGATGTTTTGTTTTTGCGCGTACTATTGCAACTTATGGTAGAAAAAAACTTTCTTACTATGGATGAAAACACGTAAATGCCATACAAACTCAATAATCGTGCTAAAAAACAAACCGTAATAACTACTTTTCTATGTGAGTAATCGGCCAAATTTTTTTATTTGACAGGTTATTATTTAAGCTTTTTAAAAATAAATGCTTGGGATACGAGTGAGTTTCATCAAGGTGTATTGTCGGGCCATACTTCTTTGAAGAAAACGGTGTAACAGTATCTATCAAGGGGCACCCTTATTTAAAGATGTTGAATGAGTTTTTTCACCCAGAACTGCGCCGAAGACGTATTCCGTTTAAGATGGAGCAACTGCACACATAACCAGACCGTTTATTGCATAATTCCAACGAAAATTTGAAAACAAATTAATACTTTCTCTATTCTCTCTACTTTCCGCTGGGCCCCAAGGTTACCTGACCAGACTGCACCAGACTTTTTTTATAGGGTCTAGCCAGAGGTGCACAAAACAAAACCCAGAAATTGGACTGAATTGAAAAAAGTCCATTTAATCGATAATTTTGGCAATCTCGACTTCAACCCTTTAAGCCGCAATGAATAATATTCTAATTAGGTATCGTATTTGCGAGGCTGAGCATAGAAATCATTTACGTTGCATATTTATTTAGCACGATTTGTGAGCCACCCTGTATGTATATATGTAGACAGTGGAACCAACTAGTCAGGCGACTGCCTTTTTTCCCGTACAAACAACTGGTGTTGAAGGTGTGAATTGTCATTTTAGTAAGAAATATGGCAGTTTCAGTTCTAAAACGATTAATTACAGCAGATATGCCTTTCAAATTATAAAAGTTAAGTTTCCCTGAAAAATTGTTGGATAGTTTTTGATTTTTTATAAATAAAGATTTCAGGAATCACTTAAAAGCTCTGTACAATAAAATAAGGGATACAGCATTTTTCAGAAACAAGTGTTATACGAGATGTGAATTATCATTTTAGTCAAAAATATATGTTCATCTCAAAGTATCATCTCAAAACAGATTCAGGAGGGCTATATACATATATATGTATATAAGTTCAGGATGACGAGACGAGTTAAGTTTCGGGAGACTGTCTGTCTGTCCGTCTGTCCATAATTTGAATAATAAGTGAGATATTACCATGAAACTGTGTACAATGGAATCTGACCATTGCCACGTTTCGAAAATGCCGTTAATCGAAAACCTATAAAATGATATAAGTAAGCTCCAAACTATGACAAAAAAATGTAGCTGTAAAGAAACGCAGAAGTATGGGGCATCTGTGGACTTAAAATTTTCAAAAAGTGAAAATGGGTGAAATCGTACTCCCCATATAATGGTTATGTTGATAACTGCAAAAATTGCGATAACTTACTAAATAAATACGCCAGAGCGAAGATGGTACGAAGCCAAGATGGTAGGTGCCGCTATCATATCAATTTCAACGTACTTTTATACTCTCGCAACATGTTGCACAGAGTATAATAATTTTGTTCACCTAACGGTTTTTTGTATCACCTAAAACCGGGTGACTGTCTGTCCGTCCGTCTGTCCGTACAAGCAATAATTTGTGTAAAAATTGAGATATCTTGATGAAACAGTATTCCTTGGCACTCGAGGAGGGTTGGTATTGCAGATGGGCGTAATCGGACCACTGTGACGCCCACGAACGCCATTAAACGAAAACCTATAATTGTCATAACTAAGCACTACATTAAGTTACAAAACTATAATTTAGTACATGAGATCACAGCAGTAAGAGGGCTAAACATTTTTTTTA